GGAATGACTTCCTGAAAGTGGGAAATTATTTCAGTCTTCCTGCTGCTTAAAACTCAGAACACCTTTATCTCATGATCTTTTTCTCTTGCTCGGACTTTGGAATTTTCAGTAACAATAAAATCAAACACTACTCTTGCTGTGTGGTGACTTGAGTGCCTGACACACATGCTCAAAAAACACTGACTGAATAAATGTCCTTGACATAATTCACATAAGACCCGAAAATAACGTAGTGAGCCTCTGTTCTGTTCCAAAGCAACAACGTAGCTTGTCTTTGGTTTCATAACAAATGCACACCCCTGAACGTGTGGCCACATCCCCGTTAAGAGCCACCACACCCCAAAAGGTCCACCTGTGTGACGCCCTCCTGACCCTGCCACGGCTGCAGCGTGTCCCTGGCCTTCTCTGGCGGGGGCACCGTCTCCTGTCCTGCAGCCCTGGCACCAGGCACACAGTCGTTGCTCAATAAATGTGAACAAACAAGTGCCTGAGTGGGGCCCCAGAAGTCCCAGAGTAGACGTCACCCTGGATCTGACGAGGACTGCTTTGTTTTAAAAACTAAGCCTCAGGGACACCAGGGTGGCTCAGTCGGTTGAACATCCAGCGTCGGTGCAGGTCATGATCTCACTGTTCGTGGGTTCAAGCCCCACGTCGGGCTCTGTGCTGACAGCTCAGAGCCTGGAGCCTGCTTCAGATTCTGTGACTCCCTCACTCTCTGACCCTCCCCTGCTCACACTGAGTCTCTCTCAAAAATAAATAAAACATTAAAAAAAAATATAAAAAACAACAACCACCAAGCTTCAGGTTGAGTTGAAAGACCAGATAGTTTGTACAGACAAGTTAATGAATAACGGCATTGACACGAAGACGGCTGGCATCAAGAAAGAGGTTCTGTGGCTTCAGTAAGTTTGTGGAAAGTAGTGTGACCCTCAGGTGGGCCTCACTTTGTTCAGACACATTAATCCGACGGCTCACACCTGAGACACAGGTACACAATTGCTGCAGTTTCCTCTTTCCTGTGAAATGTTCTTCCTTGAGGTCTTTTGCTGACTGTTTTTATGAACATGTTTTCCACTGGGAAACAGGCCATTGTGGCAGTTCAGGTGCACACCCCCCAGCCCCTGTTCTGGTGGGGGAGGACGGGAGGAGGGATGGAGGAGGACGGGAGGAGGGATGGAGGAGGACGGGAGGAGGGATGGAGGACGGGAGGAGGACGGGAGGACGGGAGGAGGGATGGAGGAGGACGGGAGGATGGGAGGAGGGATGGAGGACGGGAGGAGGGATGGAGGAGGACGGGAGGACGGGAGGAGGGATGGAGGACGGGAGGAGGGATGGAGGAGGACGGGAGGAGGGATGGAGGACGGGAGGAGGACGGGAGGACGGGAGGAGGACGGGAGGACGGGAGGAGGGATGGAGGAGGACTATTCACTACTTTGCTAATTTTTATTACAAAACAGTACAATCATGCACAAAATGCCGGGATGCCTCTGCGCTGTCTAGACACCATAGGAACTAGCTTTCTGCTGTTTTTTTGCTAATGCCTTTTTTAAAAGCATGATCCGTAGCTAACACCCCGCCCAAGTCTCTGCCCCTCACCCCCTTTCCCAGGGGTCTGAAGTTGTCATTTCAAGGAAAACACTGGACAGCTTTGTTGCCGATGATGAAACCAAGACTTCAAGCAAGAATGAGAACTTGGACTACTCATATGCAGCACGGCAGGTTACACTTTCTCCGTACTGAAGTGCTTGTTCGCCGAGGAACCTGGCAGTGGCTCAGCAAACACGTCTCTGGTCACCCACGAGGAGCAGTTACAAGGCCTGCGCGGCTCAGCTATATCACCAGTGCTGTCCCAGTGACCAGTGGATGTCACAAAACTGTGCAGAGGGAAACATTTGTTCAAAGGGCAAGATGGGGGGGGCGCCTGGGGCTCATTTGGCTGAGCGTCTGACTTTAGCTTGGTCATGATCTCACGGTTCGTGGGTTCGAGCCCCATATTGGGCTCTGTGCTGACAGCTCGGAGCCTGGAGCCTGTCTTCGGATTCTGTGTCTCTTAGTCTCTCTGACCCTCCCCTGCTCACACTGTCACTCTAAGAAATAAATAAAAACATTTAAAAAAAATTTACAAAGGGCAAGATGGGCCAACGGGCAGTGAGGTAAGAGCAAGCAGCTGCCCACATGTGACTCGTGCTTTCAGACCCTTCCCTGTGCCTGCTGAGTCATGAGGGGGCATGCAAGGAGAATGTCTAGAAATCTCCAGGAGGCTCCTAAGGGCAGCTCCCCTTTCTCTGAAGGCCTCTGAGGAGGGGTCTTCTATTGACCCCAGTGACCACAGATGACTGCAGAGGCATAAGGGTCTGGTTGTCTGTAATAAAACCAGACATTAAACAGATTTGCAAAAGTGTAAAACAAGGCTACTCTTCTTCTTTTCGGAGGGGGAAGGGGATATAAAAATGCTGGTATATAATTAGTATACTATTATTTTTAAATTAACACATATTTAAAACTTCTCATTTAAAATTTTCAATAAAGTAAAAAGGAGTCCTCAGTAATTTTTAAGTGTGAAGGTGTTTAAAAGCAGAAAGAATGAACTGCTGGATAATGTGGATTTTGGATAAAAAGCCAGTTTCCACGACCATCTAATTCCTGCCCTACACAACTGTCATTGTCCACATGACTGGGAAGGTTTGTGGTACAATGACCCGCGTTTCTTTGTGAGATGAAACCCTGTAGGATCCAAACATGTCAAGAAGTCATTGCTGTGATGTCCATGCCCACGAGCTCAGGATACCGGCCCAAGCTCCCCATGCTGCCAGCCCTCGCGGGCGCTCGGCTGAACCTCTAGAGCCGAGGTAAGCTCTTGAGTCAGCTTCCAGACCCAGAAAGGTCAAATTGTTAGAAGGAAATGTGCAAAAAAAGAACAAAGGAAGAAGGTTTCTGGGATAACACAGGAGTCTGACTCTCTGGTAAACCTTTTCAGAACAAAATAAAACTCCGTAACCCTAACTGGCACCACTCCTTCCCGACCACCTCTCGGCTGCTGCAGGCCTGTCTCCCTGGCACAGCTTCTTCAGGGGCATTTCTCCCTTCCTTGTGGACTCGCGTGTCCCCAAGCACACAGTGGCTGGTCGCCTGCTCTGCTGTCCGGGATATAAGCATGGAGCTAGCTCGAGAAGGCTCCAGGCTTATTTCTACAGCTCAGATTCTCCAAATGTCCCCTCACGTGACAGGCTTTCATCTTGTTTGGATTGTACGTTAAGGGCTGTGGCTTGAAGCATTCAATTCAATAAACAGATCGGTGGCTTAACTTAATAGACTTTCCTGTATCTGAATGCTACAGGATCTGAGACAAGGGAGTGTGTGTCTCACACCATGTTACAGGAACTCGCAGATCAGAGGCTACCCGGGGCACAGGTGGGCCAAGGCGCCAAGAGGCTGAAGGAGCATCACCAGAGCTCGGCCAGTTCTGCTCCTGGTACTAATTTGTCTTCTACAAAATGGGATGAGAAGACAAAGTGCACAAGCGGCCAGTGAGAAAACCTACAGTCACAACCAAGCCTTCCCGTAAGACGCTCCTTCTCCTAATGCTTCTGTTCAGTTTTACTAAAAGCTATCAATTCAATGGCCCTAATGAGGATACTCCATTTGAGGAATAGGTATATAAGGATGTATGTGCTTTAATGGGAAGCTGTGGCCAACATGCCCTTGGAGGTCCCGCGGGGCTGGGTCATACTTGCCCTCAGCTTCAGTCTCCTGGCCGAGGGGTGGCTGGGGAAACACCAGCCCCACCCCACTTGGCTGCCGGCACCATGAGGGGTGTCCCATGGGGTCTCCTGACCTCGACCTCCCCAGGCCTTTGAAAGCGGCTTCTGGGGGAAACCACAAAAAGGTGAAGATTGGTTTGTTTTTGAATGGCCGCTTCTTGGCTTTTTTAGTTCAGATGGCTGGCCAAACACAGGTTACAATGAACTTTTACTTTTCATCTAACACTTAGGAGAGCAGCCACGAGCAGAATCGGATGCCTGCACTGGCTTTCCCCACGCAATCTTCTCCCTCAGAACCACAAAGGGATGGCAACCAAGGGCTGTCTGCAGGTGGGGAGCACGATGTGCCTGGGCTGCTGGCCTCGAGCAGGGACAACAGGGGAACAGGCCTCAGGCACTGCCAGAGAGCGAAAGGCACGTGAGTGAGCGGTTCTCTAATAACCTAGGACCTTGATGTGCACTCGGCTCAAGGGGAGGTTAAAAGAGTAACTACGTTTGCCAGTTATTGGCTGCTTTCATCACTGCTCTCAGGTTTCATGGTCAAGGTGGAGAAGCTAGCCCCCAGTGCTGGAGCCCTTCCTGAAGCTCTACAAACAGCTGCAGGACATCTGGGGGACAAGGAAGAGGCACGTGACAGCTTTCACTAGAGTAACAGGGAGGCCGATGGTGTGACCCACTTGGCATCGAACAAGAGGGGATTACAAACACCAGGGGCCCCCGGCTTCCAGGAGGGGAACAAGCCGGGGTGCCCTGTCTCCACATGGAGCAGCGACTCTCCAAGCACAGGGGTCCGGGTCCCTCTTTCTGAGGGTTGGCAGCTCAGTGGTGGCAAAACATCACGGTCGGCGGGGCTGAGAGCCTCCCCTCCCCCCGTCGACAGGGCTGGGGCTGCTCTGAAGGCCCAGCGCCTGCTGTGACGGTGGACAAACACCCACAACACGTTGCACACTGTCTGCTGCAACACCACACGACACAGGAGCCTGCCACACGCCCAACATACGCTTTTTTTCTCTTGCATTTTTTTTTCCTTTTGGTGGATGCTGGTGCTACCGACTTATTTTTCTTCCTAAGTTGTGGCAGGTGCCTGAAACAGCTCAAACTTTTAAACACTAAGTTCAACGGTGGGGAAAAAAATGAACATGTCCAATCCTCTGGGTGCTAAACCTCATTAACACCAAGCGGTTAGTGCTTTGGAAATAAATACCTACTTGACAGAGACACCAAAGTGGTCACTGGCCATCATCCTTTCTTTTCCTTTATTTTCAACTACACAACACATGAAGTCATTATTACTGCAGAAATTCATGGATACGGCAGATGTCCCTCTTGAAATCTAGTCCCTTAGAAGACGGCTGACACATAGTCAGCAGTGTGCAGGGGGTGCACCAGACGCCACCGTGGGCTCAGCCATGTCATGCGCCCTGCAAGTTCAAGGAAGGGGCGCGCTCACAGGGCTCCCGTCGTGGGCACCCTCCGCCCAGCGTCTGTGCCTTCTGTGCACAGCAGGTCCCGAGAAGAGGACTCTGGCTGGCCTGTCTCATACAAAGCTCTCTTCAGGGACACGGGGCTGGCTGGCCCCCTGGGAACTGCTGGGGACTGTGGTAACAACACTACTCGATTCATAATCTAGTTTCATTTTATTTATATGACGTGTTGGAATGAAAGCTGCATAAGAAAGCGCTCTGAGCATAAGGTCCGAATGCACGTTTGCACATGTTTAAAGAACACTGGGGTAACAACTGACAGACTGACACAGGAATCACCACTTTCTCCTTCCTCTAAAGGGGGCACAGACTTACACGTGAGCAGGGTGGCACAGAGCCCACAGGAGACCTGGCCTGACTCCTTCCAGCACCCGAGGCCTTTCCAGCTGTAGAACTTCAACGACAGGGCCAAATGAGTGCCAGGAACAAAGAAGCAGGTCTCCACTGGTCGTGAGCGCAGACTAACCACTGAGAAGTGGCAGAGCCACTTACAGATCAGCATCAGAGCACAAAGGGCAATGGACCGGCCCAGCTACACCGTCTGAACCACTGCCACAGAACCATGCACATGACGTGGGTCCCCACGTCCCAGTCCCATGTGAGCGCTGCCCGTTCTCAGATGTCACGCTCTTCACACGAGGGCGGTCTGGCCATATTCCCTGAAGAAAAGAGTCGTTCCCACTCACCAGCTGAGGGCTCCTGGACCAGGGACTACGTGGCATTCCCGACACGTTGAAACAAGGAACAGAGACCTCAGTGGTGCTGTGAGGCCCGCGGTGACCTTTCACAAGGGCCTGCACATCCCAGGCCCCGGGGCCAACGGCTCAGGAAGAAACTTGCTGGAAGTCGCATGTTTCACCCAGGCACAAGGGACTCAAGGGCAGCTCCCGAAGCCTTGCGCTCTGGGGTTGACTCCACCCCCTGGGGAGAGGCGGAGGCCTGTGTTATGCAGATATGCACAGACCAGGCCACACTGAAGCCCTCGCTCACACAGGCATTCGTCGTTTCTCCGTTCTCTCCACGAAGGTCTATGCATTGACAAACTGTCGGAGATGAAGGGAGATCCCTGCACTTGGGGCACCCTCAGCCCCGTCTGCTGCCTGGTTTCCAGGAGCCGTGCCTGCTCTGGTGCCAATGTGAACGGCACAGTGGAGTGGAGTTAAAAACACAAACCATGTCCAGGTCACCTCATTCAACACATCTGTACCGAGTGGCTGTAATGGGTGAAAATACAGCGTATCTTATTAGATGTCTTGGATGTAGGTAAGTAAGATGCACTGGCTTTATGCTCAATGTCCACGTTTTAAAATGATTCTTTCTCCGACCGTGAGAGGGTTGTTCTGATCCAGCAGGCGGGCATCAGTTGGACCACCTGCAACACAAGCGACGGCATGAGCCTCCCTGACAAGCACGTCCCGCAAGCCAGCCCGTAAGGAGGAGGCACCCAGTGCCTGTGTCCGGCAGGCCCGGCCAGAGCCGCTGTGCTGAGAGTGGCTGTGTGTGTGCACCTTACTGGGGGAGGAGACCGTGTTTCACGTGTGTGTCCTGCCTGATTCCAGAATGAGCAGAGGGCACACCCTTACTGAATGGAGAATGGCCACCACTGGTGACTTCCTAACTGTTAATACCAGAGGTCACAGTTTCAGTCACAGATATTTTGTCCTGCTATCACCTACTGAATGCTTACTATGTGCTGACTCACGTGGCCCTCGGTGCTGGCATCGTCCATATTCTGGAGATCATTCCTCCCTCGAAGACACTGGAAACCGCCCACCACTCTCCTTCTGAATGCCGCACCCCAGACCCCAGGGCACTGTGTCACTGGCCTCTCCAGACCCCTGGAGTGGCGCCTGCACAGACCTCCCCACCTTTCCTACGGGTGTGTAGGTGCTGGTGCCCAGGGTCTGTGCCTGCGTCTCTGCTCTGTGCTGAGTGACACTGGCCCTGCCAGATCCGTCTCTGGTCACCCCCAGTGTCTCTGACAAGCACGCATCACTGCAGATGCAGCAGAGCATATGCTCACTGTGGGTGTGCGAGCATACACCGCCTCCCGCTGAGCGGGGGATGACATCACCCCCACTGGGCAGCGAGGGGTGGAGGGGCCAGGTGTGAGACCACAGAGCAGAAGCCAAACTGGTCCTCTTGGCCCCAAGGTCCACCACCGCCAGCACTGACACCTCAGTCACAACGGACCCAAAAGTTAGAGCTTGTCTACACTTGCTCTCCTTCCCTTGGACTTCCTAGCCAAGTTAATTGCACTGAAAACTGTGCAAATCAGGGCCCTTTGTACTGCCTCCCTCACCCCACTTACAAATAGTCCCCCAGGACTTCCTCAGACTTTCTAATTAGGTCATTCCCTTGGTGTCTCAAGGCAGAGCAGGCAGACTCTCTCTGTGACCAGAGGTAAAAGGATTCCGTCATCAGGACCTCCCCAAGGATCCCACCGCGAAAGCCTCACCTGGGGTACTGGCTTCCCATTACCTTTCCAATGCCTGACTCTTCAATACAATCTGCCTGGAACAACTACCAGCCATGTGAGAACAAAAGTCTAAAAAAGAGGTGCCTGGGGGGCTCGGTTGGTTGAGCGTCCAACCTCGGCTCAGGTTATGATCTTCTGTTCCGTGGATTCGAGCCCTGCGTCAGGCTCTGTGCTGACAGCTCAGAGCCAAGAACCTGATTCGGAATCTGTGTCTCACTTTCTGTTGCCCCTCCCCAGCTCATACGGTCTCTCAAAAATAAACATTTAAAAAAATTTTTTTAAATCTAAAATAAAAACAAAGACCAAAACAAACACATAGGATGAGAAACTTGGAAGAAGATTTTATGAAGGAAGAAGGAGAAAACGAAGTGAAACAAGACTACTCATGTAATTTACTCAGATGCAAAAGAAATGTGGTCACAAAACAGAAAAGCATGCTATGAAAAAGACATTCTGAGCTCTCAGAATTTAAAAACAGCACAAATGAAGATCAGAAAGAATGGGAGATAAAGTTGATGTAATCTCCCACAAAGTGGAGCAAAAAGACAAATATATATATATGTATCTTGGGATACATATATATATATATATCTTGGGAATATACTGTCTAACCTCTGAGACAAATAACAGAGAGCAGAGAAAACAAAGTAAGTACATCATGGAAGAAACTGGAAGAAAGTTCCAGATCTGAAAGATGAGGACCAGCTTCTCGTTGCCATCTGCGAGGCGGCCAGCCAGGTGTGTTGGGAGATAGGAAGCCTGCTGGCTCAGCTGGCTTTCGTGGCATTCCCCACCACACTCCACGTGGTCGCTCTCCTGGAGGCCAGGTGCTCAGAGGCTGGGGGGCCGTGGGGACAGTAGCCACGCCTGAGGTTGTTTCCAGGACTTGCCCCGCCAACCTCCTCGGGGGTGCAGCCAGTCTGCAGAGCTGTCAGGTAAGGAGCCATTTCTCTGCTGATGGTCACTGGGGTTATTCCCATCTGTCGACTGCTGTGGATAATGATGTTATGAACATCATGGCTGCACCATTTTACATCCCCACCAGCAGTGCACGGGGTCAGGTTTCTCCACATCCTTGTCAATATCTAACATTTTGTTTAGTAGTACCATTCTAGTAGGTATGAAGTGGTACCTTGCAGTGTTGACTTATTTCCTGTAACTAATGATGCAGAGCATCTTTTCATGAGCTTCCTGGCCATTTATGTATTTTCTTTATAGAAAAGTCTATTCACACCTGGGTGGCTCAGTTGGTTAAGCGTGCGACTTTAGTTCAGGTCATGGTGTCGCAGTTCGGGGGTTCAAGCCCCACATTGGCTTGCTGCTGTCAGTACAGAGCCTGCTAGGAATCCTCTGTCCCTCACTCTCTGCCCTTCCCCTGCTCATGTGCTCTCTCTCTCTCCAAACTAAATTTCATTAAAAAAAAAAAAAAATCTATTCAAGCCCTGCTATCTTTTTGCTGTCAAGTTATGGAGATTTTATACATGTACATATTTTGGATATTAACCTCTTATCAGAAACATAATTGATAAATATTTTCTTTCAATACACTGTCTTTTCACTTTATTAATATTTATTTTTGAGAGAGAGAGACAGAGGGTGAGTAGGGGAGGGGCAGAGAGAGAGAGGGAGACACAGAATCCAAAGCAGGCTCCAGGCACTGAGCTGTCAGCACAGAGCCCGAAGCAGGGATCAAATCCATGCACTATGAGACGATCTGAGCCAACAATGGTCACTCAACCAAGTGAGCCATCCAGGTGCCCCTTCACTGTTTTAAATATTATCCTTTATTGTACCAAAATTTTTAACTCTGATAAAGCCTAATTTATCAATTTTTTATTTTGTTGCCTATGCTTTTGGTGTCATACTGATGAGGTCTTTGCCAAAGCCAATGCCATGAAGATTTTCTCAATGCTTTATTTAAGGAGTTTTAGGGGCGCCTGGGTGGCTTAGGCAGTTAAACATCCAACTCTTGATTTTGGTTCAGGTCGTGATCTCATGGTTCGTGGGATCAGCCCTGCATCAGGCTCTGCTCTGACAGTGCAGAGCCTACTTGGGGTTCTCTCTCCCTCTCTCTGCCCCTCCCTGGTGCTCTCTCTCTCCAAATTAATAAACATTAAAATTTTTTTTTTTTTAAATTAAGAGTTTTAAATTGTAGCTCTTGAATCTAGGTCTTTGACCCATATTGAGTTGATTTTGGTATATGGTGTGAGGTAAGTGGTCCAATTTCATTCTTTTGCATGGGATATCCAATTTTCCTACACTATTAAATACTTAGAATAAATAAATGAATAAACAAACAAATGAATACACAAACTGCTTTCTTAATTTCCTTTCCTGATTACTCACTGCTGTTGTGTAGAGACACAATAGATTTTTGTCTGTTGACTTATTAAATTCTGCAGCTTTGCTGAATTTATTAGCTCTGGTAGCTTTCCTGTGGAGTGTTTGGGATTTTCTATATATAAGTTCATGACATGTATGGCTACAGACAGCTTTACGTCTTCTTTTTCATTTCGGATGCCTTTTATTTTTTTCTTATCTAACTGCTCTAGCTAGAATGCCAGTACAAGGCTGAATAGTAGTGGTGAAAGTGGGCACCTTGTTCCTGATCTTAAGGGGGACGCTTCTTATCTTCCACCATTGAATATGACATTAGCTATGGGTTTTTCATAAACACCATTTATCATGTTGAGGAATTTTACTTCTATTCCCAGTCTTCTGAGAGTTTTCATTATTTATCTATTTTGATTTAAAATTTTTTTTCATGTTTATTTTTGAGAAAAAGAGTGCACCCAGGGGAGGGAGGGGGAGAGAGAGAGAGGCAGAGAGTTCGAAGCAGGCTCCGTGCTGTCAGTGCAAAGCCTGATGTGGGGTTTGAACTCATGAACCATGAGATCATGAGCTGAACTGAAGTAAGATGCTCAACCAACTGAGTCACCCAGGCACCTCTGAGAGTTTTTGCCATGAAAGGATGTTGGATTTTGTCAAATGTCTTTTTTACTGCAGTGACTGAGAGGTCATGTGACAGCCCCCTTTGTTCTAATGCTGTGGTATATTACACCTATTTTCTTATGTTGAATAACCCTTTCATTACTGGACTAAATCCCACTTAGTCACAGTGAATAATCTTTTTCGTATTCTATCAGATTCAATTTATTAATATTTTATTGATGATTTTTGCATTTATTATTTGCAAACTACATTGGTTTATAATTTTCTTTTCTTGTGACGTTCTTATCTGGCTTAGGTATCAGGGAAATTCTGGTCTTATTGAATAAGTTAAGTATTTGGACTTAAATGAATTTTTTTTTTGGAGAGTTTGAGAAGGATTAGTTCTTCTTTAAATGTTTGGTAGAATTCATAGAGAAGCAATCTGGTCCGGGACTTTTCTTTGTTGGAGGTTTCTAATTACTGATTCAATTGTGTTACTTGTTATAAGTCTATTGAGATTTTCTATTTTTTTCTTGAGTCCGTTTAGGTAATTTGTAAGTTTTAAGGCATTTTGCCCTTTTTTTTTAGACTAGCATAAAAATTTTCATACCATGCTCTTAAAATCCTTTTAATCTTTCTCAAGTCAGTTGCAATGTCCTCACTTCCATTTCTGATTTTATTTCTATCTTCTCTTTTTATCTAACTAAAGTTTCTCAATTTCTCTACTGTTTTAAATAACCAATTCTGGATTTCATTGATTTTCTCTACTGTTTTTCTATTCTGTATTTTGTAGATCTCCTCTCTAATCTTTATTCTTTCCTTTTGTTAGCCTTGGGTTTTGTTTGCTCTTCTTTTTTAGTTCCTCAAGATGAGATACAGTCTATTGACTTGAAATCTTTCTTCTTTTTAATGTAGACATTCATAGCTACAGATTTCCCTCCAAGCACTGCTCTTGGTGAACC